TCGAAGCGTACGTGTCTCCTGTTTTATGTGGTGACGCGGCGAAGTCCGAGCCGTGTGCAGTGAGTTGCAAAGTACACTTGCCCCTTACGTCATACTTTACGCCCAGTTTCGTCATCCGTAGACACAAATAAAAGTTGCTACACACGGTACTCCATTATGTTAGGCCAGTCTCTTGTGACCGGGGTTCGATTCCCTGATGCACGGTCAGAAAAAATAAACTTTTCATCATTGTTTTTCCAGACGTAGTTCTGGAGCCCAACCATCCGTTGGGTTCCGGGGGTATCTCTCTGGAGGTAAAACGGCCTGAGCGTGAAGCTAGTAGTAGTTAAGAACGCGTGGAGCCTTAGCGTTTATTTAAATACAGAGAAGTTTTTCAGTTCGCAGCGAAATTCGAGAGACCATCGCCGATTAGTTCGGGGAATGCTTGTTAACGTATCTTATCTTCTCTTGTCATATCTAAAAGCATTGAGATTGAAGTCTGCAGAACCAACTCACGTCTGTTTCCTTAACACAAAGCTCTATTTTTCCACCCCAAAGGAAGAGCATGGATTGGGGATGTCTGAGGTAACTGCATCATGAAGACGATTTATAATTTCTACTCTTAGCCAGATGTTATTAGGATTATTAAATCAAGGCGGAATATATGGGCTGAACGTGCAGCACGCACAGGCAACATGAATTAAAATAAATTACTTGGCAGACCCAGGCTTCGGTCTACGGATAACATTAAGATGATTTCGAGTCATGTGGGGCCACGATGACTCACTAGACGAAGGTTTCTCTGTGTGTACGCATCAAAGAGCATCGCTGGTGCACACGGTCCTCGGCTGAGCCACTCCGACGTTCGCCCTTGGGCCCTACCCTCAAAGTCGAAACAATTATTGCGTTTCTAAAGGAGCGACCTTGGGCGTCGATCGAGTTCATGCCAGTCTCATTATCTTCGTTTTCTGTCTCATGAGTGGTCAGGGGAGGGGAAGGGAGGGGTTGCTTAATACCGGACGAGCATCTCTAAAGAGGGGGAGTGAATCCTTCGTTATAAGCTGATAGTGGCTCACATAGTCCGGAACTAACAGTCTTTTATGGAGCCACTAAAACGAACTGTACAAACATGAGATTGCATTGCATGTCAAAATGATTGTCGATTAAACAAGAAATATATACGCAGTTTTGGTTTAAAAATCTCACGGAAAATAACTTGTCGTAGACTTGAGAATAATATTAATGTAACGTACAGTAGGGCTTGGTCGTTAAATGACTGCACAGCGCTGTGCAGTTGAGTTAGCCTAGTTTTCCGGCGAAGATGACTGAATGTTCCAGATAATTGTGAGCAACACATCTTTTTTTTTCATCATAAATTCCAAATAAAGCGGCCGGCCACACTTTAACGGTATCACGGGTTCAAAATATGAGGCCTCAGATAACAACAACTCGAGTGTTATCAGAAATTCTACTTCGTTAACGTTGTTTCAGACGGATATGAATCATTTTAATCTCCACACCAGGGACAGCGTTATCCAGCCGGTCCTTAGAATGAAAATTTGAAAGTTGTCGGTACTGGAGGTGAAGATCATATGTCAGGAGTTCTCTGCCTTCGTGTTTTATAGCATCGTATCGTCCGGTATACTAAAATAAATAGTTTTCGCCTAAGCTAGACACTTAATTTTAAGCGAATACTTAATAAAGTCGACCAGTTAATTTCTCTATGAAAATTATCAGTTATTAATATTCACGCAACTGTCACAAGATCCATGCAACCGCGGAGTAGGAGGGATGTAATCAACATATCGAGATTTTTTTTTTAAAAGATGATAAAAACCGGGCAGTTGAAGTTCACGTCCACAAAAGCAGAAGAAAGTCACACATATGCAGTTTTGAGCCCCTCGTCAGATTTTCTTTGCACGCAAGACTGACGTTCATCCACACAACATCCAATGAATTCAACGTGACCATTTGCACAAACTTGTTCATACTTTCTTTACCCTTGCGAGGACGAATAATTATTGGACGGTTTCAGCAATCTCTCACATAATTGGTCCAATCAGCTGCAGTAATGTGTCTGTGTAACTAATGCTTACGTGTATTTTCCTCCGAAAATGTTTCCAAATTTCTTGTTTCCCTCTTTTGCGACACGTGTTCCACCCGTCTCAACATTTTTGTCTTAATCTCCAAAACGTTTTGGAGGGCTGTTGAAGGGATTCTAAACCCAGTCCCAACTCCTTCTTCCGTTTTGTTATACAAAATTGAAAACTAAACCGTGTTTCGACAGCTCACACAGGGGTCATCGACAGAATGCAGATATCAGATAAATTACTTAAGAGAGATAAGAGATGAGACAGACAAATCTCTCTGAACATTGTCGCCAACGAATTGAACTCGTCATTGCGAGCCGTTGTTTTCGAATTGTAAGTTTCCACGGGTTACGTTCGTCTATTGTTTGTTGAAATGTGTAGATATTTGCGTCTGTCGCATTTCATTTCATAACGACTGGCAAATTTCAGTCTTGCCAATTGTTAAGACATAATTTTTCCGTTCTTGTAATCTGTGCTTGGTTTGGTTTGGATTTGAACTGCATAAATCAGGACTTCTCTATTTTGATTCCTTGTCAATAATTCGAACTTTTTTTCTCTCTCGTAATTTTATAAATGCAATTTAGAAGCGTCTTCCGATATCGTCAAGGATCGATTCAGAAGGAAAGTGAGTGAGGGCTCATCGCGGTCTCTGATTGTTACGAAATTTAAGTTGCGTGTGTAGAAGTTTATCTTGTTTGTTCCCACAGATAATGCAGTGTCTTAATCTCTATGAGTAGGCGTTGTCTCATCACATTACGATGCGGGCGAAGTTTTGTTCAAAGTGAAACCTGTCCATATTGGAATTTTTCTTTGAGCTCGTCCTATTACATTGAACCGGAAACGGACATAAGTAATTTAAAATGTGACTGACTCCTTGGATTGGAATGTTTGAGAGTGATGATCAGAAAATTACTCGCCATTTGAGGAAGATTTACATCCTGTTTCTTTGAGATCAATTTTAATATTAATCTGAATGAAAAGTCGAAATTAAAGATGGTCTTAAATAGAACGTGAGGATTCAGACAGATCAATTTTAATATTAATCTGAATGAGAAGTCGAAATTAAAAGAGGGTCTTGAATAGAACGTGAATTCAAGTGACTCACGACAGGGACCAGTGGCGGGCTCTTGTGGGCAACGTCCATAAAAGGCGGGGAATTCATTGACTAGCTGAGAAACTGTCAGTTTCTGGAGCTAATACCAAGTATTGTGATAAATGAGTCATGATGTCGAAAAATGCTTTGGAGCAATACAAGTCATCTTTTTGCCTGTTACGGAGTCAGCGGGGAGATACACCGTTCACGTAGATAACAATTATCACACAAAGCCTCTTGATAATGTTGAAACACCGATTACTCTCAGTTTGAAGCCCAACGGAGTGGTTAATTTTTATTAAGCTCCGCGTTTGTGTTCATCAGAAGGGGTTTTGAATCGGCGACTTAGCAGTTCTTTCAGTTTTCGCCAGCTCGGTGCATACCCGGGCATATTTTTTTTAAAAAAATGTCGCGGTATCCAAGGCCACTCACGCTCTTGGTCGTCGTGGTATTTGTTTCGGTTGGTTCAAGAGCTGTGTTCGGTTTGGACGCTGCCAAATCTTTCGAATCAAGTGGAGATTCTTCGGTTGAAGCCGGAGTGGACAGTGTTCAGAGTCCAGAAAATTCTGAGAACGAATTGGTTGGTAAAATAGCAGAACCCGGACCAAATGCAAAATCTCTTGTGCACGAAATCGAATTGGTGGAAAATGTGGAAAATGGAAAAGACACGGATGTCGAGGACATGCCTGATGTTTCTGAAGCGAAGCCATTTGATGATAAGACGAGATCAGGAAATTTAGATGTGTACTACGGTAAGTCGATCGAACATCACGTTTATACTTCCATCAAAGTTTTTCGGATAAAATATCCGAGACTGGTGCCACAGCGACACTTTTAAGTGCCCCCCAAAAATAAAAATAAAACCTAATGTATTTAATCGTAATACCGGTTTGTTAAGTTCTGTAAATGTTGCATAATTTTTTCTCTTTTGATAGTTACAAGCTTATTTCAAGAAACCAGCAGCATTCAGTGCTGACGAGACTTCGAAATGTAAATGTAATTAGTCAATTAATTTACCGACAGAGATAAATTGATTTTCAAATCAACGCATTTTCGCCATATCTAACTATATTCAGATACAGGTAAGGCGAAGGATCTTTGTTAACCTGTAATTCTGACCATTAGAACAAAATCTGTGCATAAATAATGTGCGGGAAATTAAAGTTATAGTTTACCTAACTAAATGTTTTGTGAACGTCGGACATGGCTAATGAGAGACGAAAGAAACGGAAAATTCTCTATACAATTTTCCATACGGCTGTGGCCCTGTTGGAATCTACATTTTAATTTATTTTTATGCTATTCTTCGAATTATTATAGTTGTTATCATGGACGTACTAATGTAAAATAAACGAAATCATTTCGGCGTACTGTTTACGAAGGGCGTGAAACTCGATTCGTTATCGTCATGAGTCGTCACTTTGTTGCAACATGGAAGCCATTTTCTGTATTTCTTGAGTTGATTACTTACGAATTATCACATTATTATATTACTATGTGCTGTGTGTAATTAATAAAACAACGCATATTACAGACATTTCACTTCCGACCAGCGATTTCGTTCTGGACATTCGTGGTTTTCTGGAGAGATGCTTGTCGTTGTACATTTTACTTGTTTAAATGTCCCATAACGGTCGTATTTGCTGACTGAATTGATAATTTTTTCTTGTCAACTGTCTTAGAACTGGTTGTTATGTGTAAAAATTTAAAATAATCACAATTGTATCTTAAAATGTAACTAGTTCGTAACAAACGCACGATTGGGTGGATGGCGCAGCGGTAGGCCTACTACCACGACCACTACTCCCAGATTAAGCTGAATAAAACAAAGTATTTTTTCTAGGTTCCCATTTATGTTCAGCAGAACGAGACGGATATAATTCAATAAGAAGGACTTATGGAATGCAAATAAATTCTGTTACACTTCTATTCTATTTCATGACTTATTCCTTCTATCCCGTGTTCTCTGACGTGTAAGGTAGGACGATAATGATTTGATAGTACCGGAAGGAAGTAGTTCCAGGTACGCCAACAGGTCAGATCGCCACTTTACGAGCTGCGTGTTAAATTCTTGTCAACCATGGTACGTTCAACAAAAAGTTATCGTGCGTTTTAATTTAGTGATAACTGAAAGATAAGCTTGTGTTTGGTGTGATCTGGATGTTTCTTTATGTGTTTGCTATTGAACGAGATAACGGGGCAGGATAATCAGTGTTGAAGATGTTTGTGTAATTTTGGAACACGTCAGCACGTTCTCAGCTAATCGATACGTTATTGATTATACGCGCTTATACCAACTGGCACCATCACGTTGTGGTATTTCATGATAACAGACAAATAAGAACTGATAACGTGTTTCCAAACCGTGGATAACGACCCACGGAACTAATGGTATGGTTTCATTGAATGTCCTAGTGCTTGATGCGAACTGATTTAGAAATATTTATGTACAAATATCAGTAGTTCTGAACGCAGGATAATGTTGCTGTCTGGACTTTGAAACCAGGGTCAGTCATAAAATAAACTGGCGAACTGTACATTGGATATTTGGCTTTTAGTATCTGTTGAGGGCAACGAGAAAGACTTGGGTTCTGCATCTTACCCAGAAAGGCTCAGGGTTTGCTCAATGCTTTGGGCATTTTTCCTGACTGATACTGTGGTCCCAGAAACCATTTGCTCTGTTGAGGTCTGAGAACGCATGACGCTCTAAGTTCTTCATGATGCTTAGGTGCAAGGGTTTGTGAAATAATAGCAGTGATACTGTGGCTTGTCTTCGCTTATTCTTAGAAGGAATTATTATATCCTAAGCCCTGCTATCATGATGGTGAAGTCCATGACTTCCTGCTTAAATTGGTGAAGACCAAGTCCTTAGCCATTCACAGTCATTCTGGCATCGGTTATCATCTCATTGTGTTTGCAGGAAGTAACATAAGGAAACAGATTTGAAACACAAATTTTCTTTTATCATCTGATACAGACAGTCTATAATAAAGTATTAATAGTGATTATGTGCATTATCACCCAATAAGTAAATATATTACACGCAGCAAGAAGAAACAGATTAGAAATCATATTCATTGCCAAGTAATTAGGGTGTGTTTGACTTTTGACCTTTGCAAATGGTGAATGAGACATTAGATTTATCTGGGTTAGTGACCTTTGTGTTAGTGATTAGCAGGATGTTTGGCTGGGTGTAAGGTCATCACATGGTTCTCCATGTGATTGCATGGATGCCCCAGGATTCCCCACCCAACTACTTCTGTGCACAAAAATGAATTCAGGTAATGTGCTTGTTATTGGTGTCTGATCTTGACCAAAATTAGAACACAAATGTCCATAGTACCATATTTCATGGACATCTGAAGAGCAGTTCTCAACTTGTTACGCGTAGAAAAGCAGTCAGACCAGGAAATGATGGGGCTACATTCATAACTTAATTAAGACTTCTAGTTTAATAACAGAGAAGAAAGCTCTTAATAGCCACGGTTTTGCAATCATAATATGCATTGATCAGCAGCACAAAAGCAGAAGTATCTTAGGAACAAAAAGAATATATGCACTGATGTAAACTTTTAATAGCTTTAACATAATTTGCACAAAGCCAAAACTTGTTGGTTTGCAATGTTTGTTAATCATCATCAGTACCTTGTAATTGTGAATTAACAATGTAAAAAATGCTGAAATTACGTAAGCGACCTTCCTTTCGTTAAATGTATTTGGCTATGGACACCAAAAGACTATTCTGTTTATTTGTTGTTTAATGGTTTTATGTGATTATGTTCTTTAGTTGTCCCCTCTCTGTTTTCAGACTGTAAAGATAACAGGTTTGGTCCTCCGACCCATCGACTCGGCCCAAAAGAAGAGGCCTACGTCATCACCGAGACTCGTCTCAGGGAGATCCGCAGCGAATTCATGTATTGCTTCTTCGATAAGGGTGGTGATGATGGCAATGGTGATTATCAGCAGGACATCCACAACTCCATACCTCAAATCCACAAGAATTTTAACTTCCAGCTGCCCTTCTATGGATTTCGGTTCAATTATACCAGGGTGCGTAATATCAAACAACAGTTCGGAAGCATTCCACATGACAGCAATACCAGCAATTTAATCTAATAAGAATTTTTCAAATTAAATAATGACACTTTTTTTTTGTATTTTGAAACTGCATGTTCACTGTGTCTTGCCATGCCTGAGATATTTGGAAGGGACAAATTTATTTGTCAGTAAAAGGTATTGAAAATACAATTCACAGAATATTCTTGTACTTACACGTTTATCATCTGAGGGATAGTTGTCCTTTCAGAGTATTTTTTACAGTACACTTTGCTTTAGCTCTCTGTATGTGCCACTTCTTGCTAAAAAGTTGAATTTACCAGAATTATTGTAACATCATGGTATGCCGTGAGCTGTAATCCCTTTCAAAGTCTCCATAATTTGCACGTTTCGTGGAATATCTGAAGGATTTTGTACAGGAAGGTAGTATTAAATAAAAGAAATGTTAAAGCCCAGTTAGGTTTTCATTTTACATGTGTAAGAATTTGAAATAATAACAGTGGTAATTAAAAAAATATTAAATAATCTGAAACTTGTGATCACAATATTGAATTTTTGTTCGTTGTAGTTGAACGCAGTCACGTCCATCGAGGTTTTTGCTTGTTATTTTTCTCCTGTATTTGGTCTCTTGTAAAAGCAGTTAATTTTGACATCTTGATCTTTATTTTGTTTGTGTTACAGCTTTCCATGAATGGGTACCTTGAGTTCAGCGACCCACCCGAGCACTACACGTACCCCCTCGTATTTCCGAATAAGGAATGGCCCACGAAGAATGACCCTTCCTTCATCGGGATCTTCTTCACCAAGTCTCGTATCGGCAAGATCCGCAATGAAGACGTTGATCAAAGGAGGCCAGGAATGTATTTCCGCCTAGAGCGAGATCTGCAATCTCGTACCGATCAATTTGGCGTCGAGATGAGGGAACGCCTGAAGTGGGATATCCGCGAGGGGATAATTGGGTCAGACACCTTTGATCCGAAACACGCTGTCATTGTTACCTGGAAGAACATGTCATTTGCTGGGGGCATTGATAATTCGCTCTACAGAGTAAGATTTTATTGTTTATTAGATCAGAGGATGCAGTGATTATTGAAACGAATAAGAGGCGTTCTTCAAGCAGCAGACTCACAAGTGAGCGTAGAGTGGAGTTGAGTTTTAGGACAAATGAGAAGCATTGCCTCATTCATCAACATAATTAACAGTTCGCTCTTAAACGTTCAAATAATGTACGGTTTTCTCATGTCCATTGTGGGCTGATGGACTACGGTTTTGGCATTTCTCTAATGCCCACAACCCAGAGGCCACGCGCTGTAATAACCCTGTTTTTGTTTCAGACAAACACTTTCCAACTGATATTAGCCACGGATGAGGTTTATTCGTACGCCATATTCAATTACGTTAACCTGCAATGGACCAGTCACACAGAAGCGGGGGGTGACACAACTACAGGAGAGGGTGGCGTGCCAGCATTTGTAAGTATGAGAGCCCAGTACGCTGAATAATAAATTAAGTTCAGGACCAGTAAGTGACTGGGCCGTGGTCTTGGCACTGGTGTTTGATTCCTGGCAGGTGAAAGGATTTATTTTTGTGACGCCTTCCTCAGACTCGCTCTAGGGCCACCCAGCCTCCTATCCGCCGGGTACCGGGACTGTCCCCTAGGGTAAAACAGCAGGGGCATGATGTTGACCACTCAGCTGTGTCTAATTCTAGGTTTAAGAATGGGCGCTGCTTTACCTCTGCTCTTCCACACGTCTTAACGGCATGTTTGCATTTTGAATATTCAAAGATGGTGGTACCCATTTTCAGACATTTCAGGAAATAAATAGTATTTCTGGTGAAGAAACAAAAATTTGTATGCCATCATTCAGTTAAGGAATTCCAGAAAAATTAATTAATGACTGCCTCATAGGATCAGATTGGAAAATTTCACTTACTAGCATTTTAGTACATTAATAGATTGGAAAGGGGCAGGTCACTGTTTCTTGGAATTGTTCGTATTCCAGCCACGTGCCCGCGTCGTCGTTTTTTCTGGTTGCTCAAGTGTCAATTGCTCTGTTCTAAAGGAATCTATGAAGTGTAATGTTCCAAGTTCTTTTACTTTATTTCAGATTGGATTTAATGGAGGAAATGGGACTCAAAGCTTTGACTACAAGCCTTACTCTCAAAATTCAGTTTTGCGAGACTTGGTAGGCAGGGGCTGGACGAACGGCTTCCCAGGAAGGCACATATTTCGCATTGACGAGAAAATCATGGTTGGGAATTGCAACAAAGATCTTGGTATGTTAGTGTTAACTTCTTTCATCTGTCCTGCATCTTTAGCGCTAGTTGATTGTGTTGTATGCAGACCGTGAGTTGAATCACAATATTTTTCTTTCTCGTAATGACGAGACAGAAACTGGTAACCTCTGCTTTCATATCTGTAACCAAAACAGTTTCTAGATCAGTCGTCTAGTGGTGAGTGTGAGCATTTGAAAGTTCCCAGGTTTCATCCAAACTATTGTTACTAATATTACAAAAAAAAAAAAGCGCCAGTGAAATGACGACCAGAAGGCCGACTCCTGAAACATGTATTCCTCAAATCTACTTTAGACAATGGACAAAGTTCATTAATGTTCCTGTAATTATGTAAGACTTGAGGTTCTCACAGCGGTGAGTATGAAGATTTCCGTCTTCTGGGTTGTTGCGCTGTGTAGTCTGGTAGATGTTTACCAACGTTTCGGAGGTCATACTGCCTCCGTCGTCAGGGCGATGAATGTGATGATGGAGGCAGTGTGACCTCTGAAACGTTTGTTAACATCGACCAGACTACACAGCGCAACAACCCAGAAGACGGAAATCTTCCTGTAATTAGATTGATGCAATACACAACAAACTTAGAATCATTCTTATGACCACAGGTAAGGAGCGCACGATGGAAGGTCGCAAAATTATTCTCTTTATATAATTATTTTTATGATCGAATGAACTTTAAAGTTAAGGGTATTACCTTTCACTTAAATCCTTATATTGTGGTACTGTTGGCTGGACTTTGGCACTGGGTTTAACAGTTTAGTGGTATGCGAACACAACGCACTGTCAGTTTTATTGCCATGTAGCGTGGATGACAAAGAGTTCCGTGGCTCGTACGGCTGGCCACGATGACAGTGTTGCAAATGGAAGTCATTGGCTTAGACGAAGTAACTGCTGCAATCTTCAAAACTGGGTATGTTGGTACACATGATGCTCCCTGTGACTCGTCCTTAATTCAGTTTTTACACGAGCACTGTGCTCTAACTGTCAAAATGTTTATATTGCAGCGGGAGCAAATCTGGATTTGGTATTTGCTCCAGAGAGTGGCAATATGTTGGGAGGAACTGTCGTTAACATAACTGGACCCTGTTTTGTTCCTGGAGAGAAAATCCAATGCAGGTAATGAAAGACAAGGGAACAGAAGTTGGTAGTAACGTAACAGCAACATTCTTGTAACCTGTAATTTGTCAGCATCAGAAACTGTTTCTGACGCTGTACCAAAGTTCATGGACTGTAAGATGGGGAAAACAAAATTAGTGGGTATATATTTATACTTCGTTTACTTGCGGAATGAGTGCAGTAAATGTATTATGAAGTTTTATGTATCATGGAATCAAAAATGCCATCCAAATATTGTTACACTTATCACCATTGGTGTTATGAAATGAAAATATAACTTTTTAAAAAAATATTGCACCATTTTCAGGACTATTCAAGCCACACCCTTTACTAACATTTTTCATCAGCTGTTACAAATGAATTTTCAGTTCATTTATCGTCTTGGCGTCAGATTGTGTTTTTGATCCACCATGCATTAGAATCACTCGTGATACATATCCTTTCAAAGTAAAAGAATTTTGCTTGGCCGTTATATAGAATAGCAATTGTGTTTTCAGCGTATATGGCCTTGGCGCAGTCCACATGCGTGGGATGTGAATGAATTCTAATTGTAATTCCTTATTTCTCTGAGATTGTGTCTTTGTGTGTTTTTCCCTCTTTAAACTTGGTTTTTCGTTAACTTTGTTATGAACGTTGTGTCATAGAGGTCACCCCCATGGCATGCTATCAGTAATACCAAACTCTTGAAATGGAATGGATAGAAATAAATCATTGCATTGAATCCTGTTTTTTGGTAAAGCTCATATTTTAAATACTAATAACGACTACAGTTTTATTCTGATTCTTCAGTATACCAAAGTAAAAGGCTAAAAGTGTTTCTTATCTGGACATTTACAGTGAAATCTCTATCCATCGTTCCTCGAACTATCGTTTTATCGCATCGATCGTTCAAAAATCCTAGTCCCGGCCCACAATTTTCTCGCAATGATCGTTTCTGAGAAATTATAACGAAATTTACGCGATGTTTTTAGAATTTAAAATGCTGGGTTTTGAGATAAATTAATACCGAAAGACGCACAATGTTTTTGGAATACACAGTAGCGGTAACCTGTTATGTCGCCCAAACAGCACAGATTCTTTTGGAATGATGGGTCAGCAGTGCAGGGGTCATAGTTGGAGTGAATGGCGGTGCTCATTGTCAGAAATTTTATGAGTTTAATTAGGGTGCACCCATATTTCGTTCCAGCGATGCCACATGGCATGTGCAGTGTGAATTTCTTCACAAATGCTTTTATTATAAGTACAAAGGAAAGGCGGGCGACACTTTCCATTCTTCCTGTTATTTTTCGCGAAGGGGTTGGAAGCGGTGAGGAGGAAGAAGAAGACGACGAATGAGAGCCCGAAGCTGTGCCGAGTTTTGCCGAAGCACTTGCTGCGTTGGCAAAAGTGAAGTCGTTCTTTTATGCGCAAGATATTAGTGAACGTGACGCGGAAAACATTTTGAATGTGGAAAGGGCTATGTTTGGCCTAAAACGTAAAGTTTCGACGAAGCAGTTGTCCATTAAAGACTTTTTTGGTAAAAAGAAGTAACTTTGAAAGAGAAACATTCAGTTTTTTTAAATTTTTTAATGCTTTCCCGCAACTATCGTGTTCCCGAATTCATCGTTTTTATTTCCCACGATGCATCGAGGTTTCACTGTATTATGATTATTTTAGTACATTTCATGTCTACAGACATATTTTAAGGAGCATCAAAATTTAAGAAAACTTTCTATACCCAGGCACATAGAAAGTAGTTGAAGTAATCCCTAACCTTCATGAACCCATCTTTCATGATATCCAAGGAATCAAAATCTTTGCCCTTCCTAAATCTGTGGGGCCATGTTGCTGTTTTGGAAAGATTTATTCTGTACGTGAACTAACTTGACATCTCTTGATGCCAGCTGTGAATGTACATTGATTTTGTGTTAGTTAGGTATTATGCATGCACACAGCAAGTTACAAATACTGTTTTTTCAATAATAATTACTCATGTTGTTTGACTTTTAGGTTTGATGACACGACTATAACGGGAACAGTGGTGGATTCCAACAGAGCTATTTGTGTCCAGCCATTCATGATGGCTGAGGGTTATGTGCGTTTTGAAATAGCAACTGGAGAATCCAAATTTAACTGGAAAGGAAAATTCTTTGTTGGTGAGTATTAACAAGTAATTTTTAAAATCTAAACAAAATGAATGCAAAGATTTGTGCCTGTGAAAACCATCTATACTCTAGAATCAAATTTTATTAATTTTCTGAAGAGTATTCCCACAAATGTATTAATTTAGATAGATTATTTGCATTCCATGGATCGTGATTAATTAATGTTGAATAAATCAGTGTACAAATACACGCAGTAGGCTAGTCATGTTTTCTTTTGGGTGCTGTGTTCTATGAATTTTGTCTGAATCATTCTTTAATTTGGCAAATGTATTAAATTAAATTAAATCCGAGGCGTAACAGCTCCAGAGAGCCAAAGCCGACTAACTTGACTGCTGGCCTCACGTTCACATGCCTAAGCAGAGGTGAACGATCATCCAACCAGATATAGGGTGACGTGTGGTCAGCACGACGAACTCCCAGCCATTGCTAGCTTTCCTGACCGGATTACGCTACTCATTGTAGCTCCCCAATTTCCTCACGATGCTCGGTTGGCACCGGTCCCACACACTGGTCGAAAGCTCATGAGAAAATTTCTTCTCCCCCGAGACTCGAACCAGCGCGCATTCCGTATCGCTGGTCCGAAGCATGATGCCTCAGACCACATAGTGAGATATATAAGCTCTGGACTGCATTTACGTGGCTTGGGATAAGGGCCAGCGACGAGCTTTGTGGACAGATTTCACAAAAGATGGGGAATTTTGTGACTGAGTGAATATTAGCTTCTGAAGGTGGGCTCAGTTCCACGGAGTTAAGTAGTTTGAAAGATAAATTTACCGTGTGAGATTAATATGATAAACATAAATAAAGTCTGGAGCTGGTTACGTATCTACTCTTGCCGTCATAATTCTGTGAAAATATGTCTTGTTGATGTGGGATCACGTACACAGAGCTTCTGACTTCCTTACAGAGTTGTACATTAAATATGATTGATTCCGTTAATAAAGAATAACAAAGTAAATTATTTCTGATGTAAAATACTTCATTTTGGCTTTTGAACAGGATTACATTTTTAAGTTTCTAATTGTTTAAAATTTTAAATACATTTTTGTTTCCTATAGAGACCCCAGCGACAGCAACAGACAGAATTTACTTTGAAGGCGATGATGTACATCAGCGCGCCCCAGCTGAAATTAAGATGTCTTGGAACAAACGCAATTTAACAACCAGTGAGAATGCTCCTATCAAAATATCACTGTGGGGATACAGAGAGACAACGATTCGACCAGAGCTGCTGTACATAGACATGATTGAGGTTATTTATCTGATTTATCTGATAATATTCTTATGGCTTAATATTACACATTACGATGAAATCCTTTGAAACTTTAAGTACAGTTTCAGATAAGATTAGAATGAAGAAGATACATGTAAAAAATTGAGTTCAGTAATGTTACTTAAGTAGTCTGTATAGAATATATAAAGATAAATTTTATATTAGAAATTAATTTATGCTCATATAAATGTTAATTTATTATTGTACCTTTTGTTCGGTTTCTAATTGGGAAATTTTTTTGTGGCTATCAAAGACTGATTTTATTGCAGTCACTTGCCCCTACAAACATTTTCTCTTGGCTGTTTTCTGCTTTTGTGTAAGAGTGGCAAGAACACAGCTTGCAAGTTCCCTTGTAAACTTCTACTATTCGACATATTTATGCGTCCTTTTCAGTGTTTACCCAAGTTTGAACAATGGTATTCTAGCACACAGTTTCTCATTTATTTATCCAAAATCTCTTGCGGACAGCTAAGCATTGCTGAATTAGACTTGCTTTTGGGAATTTTAAAAAAAGAGAAAATGATTTTATCAGACACTGTGATGTTACAGGAAAGTGCTGTGAACTCGGGTACGTACACCATCTCGCCGGGAAACTTCAGATCACGTTCAAACCCAGCAACTGATAATCTGAAATTTGGATTTATTCACATCAACCTGACCAATCCAGCACAACACGCGGGTCTCACAGTGTCTCCGTAAGTCCATCAAAGAAGTTAGCGCTATAAACACAACTGCCAACTGCTTGTAGCTGGATTTAGACTTCCAGGTGTTCTAACCTCCTAACAAATCAGAAACACGACCATGCACTCTTTATTTTGAACTTGAGAATATAAAATTTAGTTCAGAAAAAAAATACTACAGCAAACTGGGTACAGGTGGGTTGCTTGGCAACCAACATGCATACATTTTTAATGTTCTTCTGGATTAGTAACACGTCATGTTAAAGGTCTTGCTTACACCAGGGCTGTGGAGTTGGAGTTAGAAGCAATTTTAGGTGGAGTCTGAGTCGGTGAAAATGTGCTGACTCCAACCTCGATATAAAATCTTAAGAACAATTTCTATACTGCGTGAGCCGCCGGCAGCCTCACGCTTAGGGAGATTCAACGACGCTTTGAGCCACGTGGTGTGGGAATAATGCTTACAGAAATATTATTTTGGGTCCCGCGCGGTCTGAGGCATCGTGCTTCGGACCGGCAATACGGAATGCGCGCTGGTTCGAGTCTCGGGGGAGAAGAAATTTTCTCGCGAGCTTTCGACCAATGTATGGGACCGGTGCCAATCCAGCATCATGAGGAAATTGGGGAGCTACAATGAGTAGCGTAATCCGGTCAGGAAAGCTAGCAATGGCTGGGGGTTCGTCGTGCTGACCACACGTCACCCTGCATCTGGTTGGATGATCGTTCACCTCTGCTTAGGCGTGTGAACGTGAGGCCAGCAGTCAAGCTAGTTGGCTTTGGCTCTCTGGAGCTGTTACGCCACGGATTTAATTTAATTTAAATATTATTTTGATAGAAATAAGTAATAATGTAATTCTGAGTCTTGTTTCACTTCTCATTTGCAAAATTTATAATGTAAGTCATGTTCTTCAGTACAGAAGGTTCTCATTGTTTTACTGATACTTCTGTAGGGTGATGTGGAGTAAACCCATTCCATTGGCCTGGTATTTCAATGGCCAATGGGAACGCAAATATGGGTCAAGATGGAGTGAGGACCTGTGCAATGAATGGATAACTGATGATCGCTACCTCAAGAACTTTGCTGCTGAAGTTCCACAGTGCCCCTGTTCATTGGAGCACGCTTTGTCCGATAAAGGTCGCTACCTACCCGACTTTGACTGTGACAAAGATGCAAATCCGAGCTGCTTCTACCACAAGGGGGCTGTGCACTGTGTCCGTTCTGGAGCACCGAGGTGAGCAGAAATAAGCGTAAAAGTGTTCTTTGTATCTACGTTACCAGTATATTTTAATGTACGTGGCCAAAATTATGCTCACGTACAAATTTATATAATAGTTCGAGACAAGGTTATGTCTTCTCATGCCTAATATATATACGTCTTATTTAGCAAGATTTTAGATCACGTCTTACCCGGTGTCCTACGTGAGCGATTAAATGCGAGCGGTGCGAGTTGCGTGGGTGAAGCGGAAATATCAAACTGGCTGTTTGTGTAGCGCTGCCCTAGGTTACAGCGAATCGGTCAGGAGAGGGAAACAGCCGAACTCCAAGATCAAATATTTTGATATTTTCGCGCAGGTCGCTGCGCTGGCCAGTAAGGCACATGCGCAGATAAGCTCTGACTGTGCAGTACAGGGAAGGTACATGCGCAGAAAGACCGTGTGCTTCTACTACGGTCTCTCACGTAGTACACAACAAGCGATTCCCTTATGTCATATGACACCCCACGCTGCTTATGCAGCTCGCTTCTTATCGCTCACGTAGGACATTGCCTTAGGGCCTGTGTTGTGTTTAGAGGGGTGGTGGAGTTCGTAGATTCAAACACACATCCAGTGTTTGGGTTGACACAAAAATGTTTCCTTTTTAATGTCAAATCTGAACAAACAGAGAAAATGGAAGAGCATGTGAACCTATGAAAAAATATGCTGTTTCTCAGAGTATGGAAATATCAATATGGCAACGAAGTAAGTAAACCATAAATTTCCTTACAAATCAGACAATACAAGTGAGGGGAAAACTTGTCATGTGAGATGATTTACTTAATCATTTGAACTCTAGCATCACCAAACAGAATATGAGCAGTCAGGTTATGCCATGAAATGCGAGACTGAAGACTGCAGTAAACTGGGTTTAATATTTCAGTTTGATTGGCTCTGGCCAGCAGTGCTGCTATGACAAGAACAATTATCTGATGCTGAGCTATGACCAGCAATGGGGGTCGTGGCCTCACAGATCACATAACATTGGTTTCCTACCCTGGAATGAAGCTAACAAGGTGACGTATGAAATGTATCAAAATATAGATTTACAAAATAGTTGTTAATTTTTCACCCAAAATTTTAGAAGAATCAAATTAAAGAAACAACACAAGACGTACTTTTTACATCTTATGCGTACGTTTGAGGTGGAATTTTGTGATTATAGTCTCTCAAGGTCAGTTTTAGAAATATGGGGCCTAACAAGACTTAAATTGAAGTGCAGCTGCTGAATATGTGTACTTGTGAATAATTGATGAATTAACTATTTTTAATCTTCTCTTTACTGTAAATTACACTCTAATATTTCATGAAAATAATTATTGTTAATTGTTAGACAGTAGGAGAAGAGCCTAAGGCCAGTTTGCTCTTTAAGTCTCATTGTAGCCTCGTTAGTAACTGTCACCCTTACTTTGAATTAAATAATCAGATGGTGTAAGAAAAGTTTAATGGATTTTATTCTCCAAAATAATTCAAGAGTACCCATGTTAAAGTATGTAGTCAGTAATTAGGTTTAATGACCTGAAAGTTAATGAGAAACGTGGTGGCAGGTTCCAACTCTCTCGCACTGGTATCATGACATCGCGCCGTTCTACATGTGCTGTTTGTGGCAAGAAGAGCAGGCGGTCGGCTGCGAGACCTTCCGCTTTGAGCGCCGACCCACGCAGGACTGTGTTGCCTACCAGTCACCCTCTGTTGGTCAGTATTGTATAACCGAGGTTCTCGCATATCTTTTATTCATTTTAATTTTACACTGTGATTTTCATAATATGAATCATTTTCAGCCACTGTGTTTGGCGACCCACATATCGTCACGTTCGATGACTTGGAGTACACGTTTAATGGGAAGGGAGAGTTTGTGTTGCTACATTCTGACACTCCAAAGCACAAATTTGATGTTCAGGGACGTTTTGAGCAGCTTCCCCAAAATATCTACGGGGAGGTGAGAGCTACACAGCTGACATCTGTTGCAGGTTCGTACGCTGTTGAGCAGTCAAACAGAAAGTGAAGTTGATCTGACCACCCTAATAATACTTGGTGATTTGTGCAAATGACGTAACTTTTCGTCGTACAGTTTTCTCTATAGACTATAATCAAAAGCTTTGAAAGTACCAAAGATCTGTATTACGTTGAATGTGTTGTTACTTGTTCTGTCTGTCTTTACAGCCAGAGATAATGCCTCGACTATAGTCGAAGTACGCTTGAGACCAAAGCATGCCCAGTGGAGGTACCATCTTGATGTGTTTGCTGGAGGAAAGAGAGTGTACTTCGATAGGTCATCCTTGAGGATACAGCACTTCCCTGGTGAGGCAACTTCTTTCGGTGGACATGAATTTTGTGACCTTTGACCTGCTGGTGGATTCCTGTAGCTTGTGGGAATTAATCATCTTCTTTTGTCTGGCTCACTTAAAAATATTAAACAAATGATTCTTTCAGGAGTGACGGTGTATATGCCAACGTACATTCTTAACCAGTCCGAGATCATAATGATGTTTGAATCTGGCGCTGGAGTCGAGGTTATCGAGAATGAAGGTTTCATGACTACGAGAGTCTACTTACCTTGGTCATTCATGGTATGTATGCAGTAAAACAATTGTACACCTGTTGATAAATATCTTTCTGAAAAGGAACTGTCGTCAGGTCATCTGAAACAGGGTGTCCCATCACGCCCAATGAATCAAGGCATGGTACTCCAAATTAACCGACAGTTTCTTAATCAGTTATTCTGTAGGGCAGTTACGATATTCAGATTTCATTATCTGGAATTGATTTTCAGCTTCCTTCTTTTTTATTTGTTTCTTCAGATGTGATGTATCACAAAAAATAAAGTATTTTAGAAATAATTTTATATGTTTTTGTATATTCAATTTTAAAAACGGAAGGAAAATTCCACAAAAACGAATGAGACTCTTTCTGGAAGCTGGTAGGAGACGACGCCTTTCCCTTGCATTGATAAGTCTGGAGTTACTCGACCGTGGAAAATTCAATTGTGCAAACACTGTAGAAATTGTTTTGCCTCGAAACTTAATATGTGGGTAAACATTTATTTGGAGTTTTTTTAATGTTAAATAAAACAGAATGTCTACCGTGAATTAAAGAATTTGGCGATAAAATCAGGTTACTTGCTTATCTCTATTTAATTATTTTCTGATACTGTATTAACTGCTAAGGTTGTCAGTGACATATGGTAAGGTGATTATGAATGATGAATTGTAAGAAACGTGTGAGGACGTTGTTGCTTATTTAAAGTGCGATCTGACTGTCTCTAGGAGAGACTCAGGAAACCATGAAATATTCAGGATTTATGGTATCTGGATAGAAACTAAGATACCATCAGATTATAAATCAGATATTGCCACCGTGTCAATATAGGATTAAATTTGGATTTTTTACTCACAGATTGTACTGTAGCAGGAAAAGAAATGTCTTTATTTTTTATTTTTGCGTGTTGTTATAGGTTTAACTTCACTGATTTTAATTTTCAGAATCAAACACGAGGTCTGTTTGGAAATTGGAGTCATGACATCATAGATGATTTTACACTTCCAAATGGATTGATGGCAGGTGTTGGATTGGGCATTAACAATTTTGAAAGTATTCATAGGGACTTCGCATTACACTGTGAGTATACTGAACCACAGTTGTTTACTTTGTTGCAGCGTAGCTATATAGTTTACATTTGTCTTCAAGTTGTGACGCGTTCATATGTTTAAAGGAAAAATTTTGTATTCTACGGACTAAATCCATAGATTGCATTCATGTGGCTCAGGATAGGATCCAGTGGTGGACTTTTATGAATGTGGTAATGAACCTGTGGTTTCCATAAAGGCTAAGAGTTTCTTGATCAGCTTTTCAAGGAGGTATTTTTGTGGAGTTGGTTAATTAATTATTCGGTTAACTTCATTACTTAGTATTAAAATTACTTCATTCTCTGGTTATTTTATTCAGATCTGAACATCAGTTACATGAAATTCTTGTTATGTATAAATTTATAGTAGTCTTTAATTCACTAAAGTAAATCAATTTTCTTGTATTATCAGGGTTAATAGAGGACAAAGATGATCCCAATAAAGGTGTTGCACTCTTTACTAGAGAATTTGGTAGAACTGCAAATTTCTATGCCAACAAGACATTTGTTCCGGAGTTTCGAAAAACGCCACAAGACATCATTCCTAGCAACAGGTAAGTTCTTATAATTTTTCTGTAAAATGTGAGTATTGGGCTTATTAGTCTTTGAGCTCAGTTCCCTGTAAACATGTGTTTGGTTACCCAGCAACATGTACATTAATATTAATGGGGTCTCTGCACTGTCGGTATAACACGTTTATCACCCGGTTTAAGTTACC